AGGTAGATGGGAGTGGGGTGGGGGGCTGGGGCAGACTGGGCTTCCATCCTAAGTGAAGTGAGGAGCTGCTGTAGGGTTGTGAGTGGAGTGACAGATCTGGCTTACATTTTAACGTGATCCCTCTGCATGATGGGCTGAGACTAAGCAGCTCGGAGGTGAGGGCAGAGGCAGGACAACCCGTCAAAGAGTGGGACAGCAATCCAGGAAGAGACAGTGGCTTGGATGAGGGTGCTGGTAGTGGAGTGGGGAGAGGAGATATATTCTGAACATATTTTCAGTTTAGAGGAACAATTAACAGTAATGTATTAAGAGGAGGTCTAGTGTCATGGTGGTTACTTGAACCTGACGTTGAAGGATAGGGGGGATTTGAAAAGGTGGCAGAATTAGGAAAGGCATTCCAGGACGTGGTAGGCTTAGAGGCATGAGTGAGTCCAGCTTATTCTTGGGACAATGTGATTAGTCCAAGTAGAAGAAGGCAGATCATTCTCTGGGGTGTGGAGGGAAATAAAATACACAAAGCGGAAGCAGATTATACAGAGCTTTGAAAGCTAGGGAGGGGTGTTTAGACATCACAACATTCACTATGGTGCACTACTGTACGTAGTAGGTGCTCAGTACATATTAGAAGTCTGATAGGCTTTGAGGACCACGTATCTGGCAGATTAGGCTGGATGGCTGAAAGGTTCTCATTTAGAAAGTCAGCTAAAACGCTGCACAAGAATCCCAGTGGGTGGGGCGCCTGGGTAGCTCAGTCAGTTAAGAATCCCAGTGGGAGGTCATTAGGGCTGGTCTACCTGTAGGTAGGTAATTGACAGTTGACTGTTTTAAATTTACTTTATAATGCAAACCATTCACCACTTGTGGGAACTTCAATCTTGTGTTGGCAAATCTCTTACCTGATAAAAATTACATGGGTCTAAAAAACTGTGTACTCAAATAACCACACGATCTTAATTCTGAGGTTACTGGAGTTGGATGGCAGTTGCTATCAGATGCATATGTAATTCCCGTGTCTCTAAATTAGTTACAGGTGCAAAACTGTATCTACAAAAAAGGTGATCTAGTAGAGGTTTACAGAAACTTAGTTCCATCTAAATGAGTCTGATTCATTCACTATCACATATATTTTTGCAAATATTCAACACTAGTAGATGGACATGAGGCATTTACTGGACAACTTTCTTATGCCTAATTTAAGGGTGTCCAAAAGAAGCCAAAATAACAGAACCCATGTCAGTTCTGTTGATCTAATACAGTGAAGACATTTATTCTGCTCAGATTTCCTCTGATGCAAAGACTGTATGCTTTATAAGGAGTTATGATGATTTTAGAATTTCCTAAGGGTTACCTTATTCAAGTTATAGGTGAGAATATTGACAAAGATAGTAATCTATGACAAACTATCAGAGCTATAAAAATTGTTTTCCATTTAATGACCTATGTTTTACACTGCAATGAACAGTTTAAATGGATAATTGCTGTCAGACAGCTTTCAAGACAAGTTGTATTTCTTAGGGATGCTGGGGGAAAATAAATAAAAGAATTTTTTAAATGCTGTGTTTTCTTGTAAGCATCTAATATACATGACATTTGTTTCTGGTGTTTCCTATAATTCATAATTGGGAAGTACAAGAGAAACTATAGTTTTTGGAAACACAGCAAGGAGATTCTGAGTCTGGAAATCTACCAAATCTACCAGGACCTGGTGGTCAGAAAAGAGATATGAACAGTTAAATCAGAGAAATAAATGATAAAATAGAGCCATACTAAAAAAATTAATATGGACAATAGTAAAATTCTAGAAAAAGGCCCTGAATTATTACTAATGTGAGGTTATGAAATTCAGAGCTGTGTCAATTACCTAAATCTTCATCATAAAGAATATTATAATCTATGATAGTTTTTCAATGTCTCGGAGAAGAAGACGTGTAATCACTGCTTTCATTTAGGGCCAAAGAATGATTTCAGCTTTTGGAAATCCAATCTTTTCTGAAACAAACATTAATGAAAGTGGGAGGTAATTGCCCCATTAAAAAAAAAATCAGACAGAAAGTTGCTTTCTCTAAGTATGATTATTTCCTTATCAAAACATTCATGGGAGATCATGGAGAAGCCTCATCTCACTCAAAAACTGCCACTTATTTTGATGCACAAAGAATTCTGCAGTTTCCCCCCCATATTCTCTAAAATGCTTCCAATTTAGGATATCATATGTCTTCTCTTCCATCCATAAGTGATTAATACTAGAAGACCAAAACAATAAACTCTCTATAGGACTTCAGATGTGCTTTCACAAATATTGTGTCATTTAATCCTTGCAATAGTCCTATATGTCTGTTGCTATATGTGGAAACAGAGGGGAGAGAGGATAAATGACTTACTCAAATTCACACAAAATGTACATGGCCAAGACAAGACTGGTAGTTACATTCCCTGATACTACCTGGGTCCCTTAAAACCTCTAGAAAGGTGAAAACTTTGGTCAATTATTTAAATGCTTCCAAATATATAGTTGCCTGGAGTCACAAAGACACAGTTTAAGTATCCCTCAATAAAAATGGCTGGCAATCAATCACTCACTCCTATCTCAGGAGAGGCGCTCGTTTCAAAGGACTGTCTATTGCAGCATTTATCATGTCTCCAAGGCATATTTCCATTGCTCAATCAGCTCCAAAGGACAAGCATGTCATCATCTTTCAATGCTCTGGTGCAACACTTTAAAATTATAGAATTCACATAGGACTAAGTCTGGCACTAAAAGCAGGAGGCATATTCAGCTTGAGTTTGTGGAAGCTTCCCTTCAATCTTGCCAATTTTTACTAGTAGAAATGGTTTCAGAGCCAGCATGGGGTTACTTGGGGTTACTTAAGGAGCTCATGATGAAAATAGGGAAATAAGATAAAGGGGGGGGGTCACAATGATAATGGAGCCCAGGAAAAAGTGCAGAAGTTCTCTTTGGGCATAGTGGCTACATACATTTTTGAATCTCATGAATATGACCAATATAGCTTGGACATCTGGATCATTCACACTCAACAACCACTTTTTCTTCAAAGTAGCAACCAGCTACTTGCAACAACCCCCAAGCTCACCTTGCCTATAGTAAGGAAGAAGGAACACCTAAATTGATTACCGTATTAAAGCCAAATACCTAAACTCTACAGTGTTTCATCTCTGATGGCCTCAAATAGCTAATGATGATTATATGTCCAATTTCAAGTTTGTTTGTCTGTCTGTTTTGGCAAGGGTGGAGTAAACAGTGGGTATCTACAAAATGCAATTGAAGTTAACAACCATAGGTTTTTGGCCTTTAGGAATAATATTTTTAACAGAAAAACAACACTTTTGAATAAGAAGTAATCAGATACCATATAAACAAAAGTTAAATTATTTGTACAATATGTAATTTCTTAATTGCTAATAATTCTATTCTGTACCATGCTAATTAAGAAGAAAAGTACTGAGTTAGTCTTTTGGAGGGGATTTGACACTCAAAATAATTAAACCCCGGGCAAATTCAAGGCATAAACATATAGAGATTAGTACAGAATGAAAACTAACTTGATCACATAACTATCTCTTACCATAAACGGTATTTTTCCTCAGTTAACCTAAAATATTTGTTGCACTACATTCTGGACATATTCTTTGCAAACAGACAAAATTACCAAATTTTGATTCAAGAACTATTTCACAGTATAACTAGGACATTCTGCCCTGATGTAGGCTAAATTAGTAACTGGAGAAAGATAGCAATAGTTTTTATGGCTTTTAGAAAAATAGAATAACAGATTTTTATATAATATAATGAAACCAAACTCCTATTTAAGAGGCTCAGATGACATATATATATATATATATATATATATATATATATATATATATACTGAATCAAATCATCATAGTAGAATGAAATAGTATTTCAGGAAATATTTTTCCTTAATTTTTAAACAGCCTCGTGTTTTAAAAAAAAATCTGTGAATAATATGTTCAAACTTCAGGCTTCCAGAAAAACTGAAACATTAAAATGTAAAGCCATTAATTTCAACAATGAAGCGACTTAACTGTAATGCTTTAGCACTTACATTATAAAACACAAATCACACTAGTTAATACAATCTATTTTTATGTGGTATCTATGAGAAAAAAAATAGAAATACAGAAATAAATATGAAGCAGTACAAAACAGAAGAAGCTGTGCTAAGAAACTCCAGCAGAAGGAGCTGTAGAAATGAAGAACTTATATTTTGCAATGGCCAAGAAAGGAATTTTGAAAAATGAGGTATCTGCTTGAATCTTATAGATCTGAGTACAAGTAATAGCTAATCAGTTACTTAGCATGCAATAGGCATTTAGGGACATTGTTTTCTTTATGTGTAAAATGAAATGCTTGGAATAGACATTCTCCAAGTCCCCACAATCTATTTGACAATGCATGAGGCACTATGCCAGGTATCCTAAGAAATATAAATTATTAAGTTGGTCCTACACTCTGGAAGCATACAATTCTTTGGGAGAGATAAAATGTACAAATATCTAGATTTCAAAGTAGAACTAAACACGCTGAGAGAGCTTTAAGAGGAATAAAAATGCTGTAGGGGGGATAAAAACTGCCTGAGAGATATGTACCACATAAGACTATAAAATGGGAAAAAGGGACCCCTCGGGTATTCTAAAAAGACCTTAAGTATATTTGGGAAACACATATAAATCCAGGAAATAAAAATGAATAGGATTTAAAAATATATAAATATACCCTTAATGCTTACAATTCAGGAAATGGGAGCCCTGCACAGAGATAAATATGGATTAGTTTAGGTTTCTTTTTCAAAGTTCTGATGCTTATAAGTGAACACTAACACAGCAAACTAGTCATTAAAAGTACCGGAGTATAGACATCTCATATTAGAATATAACTTGGAAAACAAACTACAAGAGCAATTTTACCATTTCATAAATGCCCAAAGTAACCCAATAGCCATATCTGGAATTGACTTTACCTTGTGAAGTGTTTGCAGACAGTGTATCAGCAAAGGAATCGCTTTCTGGGTCAATGAGAGAATTTCCCAGAGTTTCACCCATAACAGCATGGAAGAGGGATTTGCTGTAATTCACACTGATATTTTGTCTATTTCTTGCAAAAGACCAATCCATTAAAAGAAAAGGACTTGCAGTAGTAGAACTTGTGAACACGACCAATGAGTTAAGACATCAGTTTCCAAATATTTCAGAGAGGTGGGAATAAATCCACAAAGGACCAGGCCTGAATTGGCTGGCACTGTCCTGCTGGAGAGCCAGCTGTGACAAATGTTGTGTCATAATGTTGCTCACTGCTTTGGCAAGACTTGGTACATTACAAGGAAAACATTGCCACACTGTCTCGCCAGTGACCCACATGTTCTGTGTCTTGTGAGGGGCGTGAGTTGTACAGTATTTAGAGCTATCAGAGCAAAGAGATCATTCAGTTTTCGATTGCTTCTTAAATGGGAGACTTTACATCTCTGGGTTATGAAATACCAGATAAACTTACTTGGACAAAGTTTTTTCTAGCTGCCTGTTCCTGGCGCAATCTCTAATCATATTATCTGAAGAAAACTACTTAATTCAAACATGTACTTGTATTTTAAAATTCGGCATTGGCATGCTACTGAAATGTTATTTTCTGAGGCATTTGTCCCACCCCTTGACAAAGGCTAAAATGATACAGACAAATTCTATAAGATTAACTGGTTGAGAGATACAGTTTAGATTTGCTCTATCAGGGTTTGCTTTTTAAAAACTCGATGATTAAGTTTATCCATCACTAGCAGAGGCAGTAATGCTGCACCAAGGTCTGAACGCAGCTGATGTTTAAATGATAAATGCCATGTCATAATAGAAAAAGTGGAGTTCTCTCTGAGAAGAATAATGCATTAGCAGAAAAAAAAAAGACAGACTCACACTGATAGGTTGGCGAGGAACTGTGGTCAGTTTTGTAATCAGGAAAAGGCTGGCTTCTTGCTCAAGTCCTTTGCCCTTTCTGGCAAGGAGAAACACAAGCAGTGCCAAACTTCAGTGTGGAAGCTGGTCTCCACTTGTCCTATAAGTGGCCTGATAGAATTGCAGTGACTTGTGGATTTTTTTTTTTTTAAAGATTTTATTTATTTATTTGAGAGAGAGAATGAGAGAGAGCAAGCACATGAGAGGGGGGAGGATCAGAGGGAGAAGCAGACCCCCCACCGAGCAGGGAGCCTGATGCGGGACTCGATCCCGGGACTCCAGGATCATGACCTGAGCCGAAGGCAGTCGCCCAACCAACTGAGCCACCCAGGCACCCTGACTTGTGGATTTAATCAAGATACCCCCACATAGGGTGATGATCAGATGGCAATAATTCCCTTAGACTTATCCCAATGTTCCCCCAAGTGGCCTAAGTATCTATCAGTTTCATCTACATTGAGTAACTGGTCATCCTGCAAGGCGACTAGTCAAAGTTTCCCTGGTAATCATGGAGCAACAGCTTGGTGGGGAAAATGCATACTTGGGTCTCAACAGCCCAGAATAAAGTGGAGAGTTGGGCATTTGTATTGCTTAAAAGCCTTAAAAAAACCAAAAAGCTTTTACTCAGATAGTTCAAGTAAAAGCAAGCTTCTTGACAGTCCAAATGACTGAAGAAATTATAGGTGTGTAGAACTAGTTTTGTCTATATTCAACTTGAACCGTCGATAAAGGAGTTTCTCCTTCCCTCTCAATGCTGGGAAATTTCCTTGTATTACAGACACAGTGATAATAGTTAAAAGTGTGATTAGTCTACGATTTTTTATTGAATATAATGATAGATCAAAATCAATTCTAGAAGTCAAGGACAATTTCCTTCTTGTTAATAAAACAGAACAAAAATTTAAGCCCATTCTGCTTACAGATACTCTTCCTCAATGTCCCAAGATGTGCTTGAGTCTGGAAGGCAAATTTTAGCTTTCTTCCTATGAAATGGCAGTTTCTCCCTCAATTCCCTATCCTCTCCCCATTCTTGCTTTCAGGTTCCAATGTCTCCCCAACTTTAAAAAAAATGAACAAGTTTATTAAAATGTTAAGATTATGCCAGAGTATAAGAAGGACAAAACGGGCAGAAGGATACAATTTTAGAGTGAAACTCTATAAAAGTCTAACACTCTGTTAATAAGATGAGAAAACAAGGCCCCCAAATGACAAGTACACTCTCCAGGTTAAACAGGTAGGTAGTGACGTGGAACTAGAATCTAGGTTTTTAGGTATCTAATTCCCCGGCCAGCCTACTATTGGCCTTCCCCAACTTCTTAAAAGTGTCTAAATTACCTCTTTTAATAAATCAGTCACCACAGGGACAGAGTATAGAATGAGTTAAGGGGAAAATATGTTAACTCTTTCACAGAGTATCAGTCAATAACTGTCATTCATTTTTCAATACCCATAGATATGGAGTTGGTGTGGGGAGCTTCTCAATGCCTTTTTCTCCCTTATTCCTACATTTCTTCAATGATAATGTAGGTCATTCAGGCTACATAATTCTATCTGGGGAGATCAGTTTAGTTTCTGAGGCCAAAAGCATTAAGCTGGTCCTCCAGTTGGACAGTGGTCTCTTCTGCTATTTGGACAATACACAGATCCGTTCTTTCCAACTACCATCAAAGGGACTAATTTCTGGATTCTTTACTACTATTACTTCTATTCTCTTTTTTCCCCCCTCAGACACCATTCAACTTGTCTGTCTACTGTTGTCCAACCCCCTAACAGTTCTCACTCACACTGTGCTTTAGCTATTCAAATATAGAATTATTTTTAACAGCTAATTATTTTCTAACATCTGAATCTAATGGCATCTACTCCTCTTGGACGGTATTGTTTGAGAGCAACAACCTGTCCTATTCACTGTATTTCACTCATTTATTTGTTCAACAAATGTTTGTTGGCAAAAAATCAGAATATATTGGCAGGTCTTGAGTTAGTGTTGGCTTAATGAACAAGATGGATGTATTCTTATCTTGTGGATTTCAAAAATAGTCAATAAACAAAAATTATAATTTTTATCAACAATTTTTATCAACGTGTGGATTGTAGGCTCAGTAAATGTTGCCTAAACTCTTGACAGCATATCAAGCAATATAGAAAACATTCCCAGTTACTAACAAAATACTCATACAATGTGGATTTTAATCATATTTTTAATGTTAGTAACAATATTTGTTTTTTTAAGATTTATTGATTTATTTGAGAGAGAGAAAGAGTGTGAGCGGGGGAAGGGGCAGAGGGAGAAGGAGAGAATCTCAAGCAGACTCCCCGCTGAGTGTGGAGCTACACAGAGCTCAATCCCAGGACCCCGAGATTATGACCTGAGCTGAAACCAAGAGTCCAATGCTCAACTGACTGAGCTACCCGGCACCCCAGTAACAGTATTTTAATATTTTGTATCACAGTATAACACCAGGTCACTTGAGAAATAACTTGTTCATGTGGATATTAAAATGGACAAAAATAAACGGAGCCAATGCCAATTTGTATCTAATTAGGAATGTGCTTTGCCCGGAGATATTGAAAAGACTTATTTTATTTTACACTGATCCATCCAGGTATTCCTCAAATATTTACCAAACACCTTCTGAGTGCCAGATATTATTCTAGATATAGGAGATAAATCCATTAATAATCCAAAGTTCCTATCCTCAGTAAGTTTATATTTAACTATATTCACCAAAATTATCCAAATATACCTGAAAGAGTGATCTTTTAGCTCATTTAATTTTGAAGGTCAATTAGCATGCACTGATATAAGAAATAATACATTTGCTTAAATGAAGTCATTCCTATCAATGGACAGTATATGATCAACAGAAAATTTATGAGAGTTTTGACATGCATGTGACTATTTCTATCTTCAACGCCTTAAGATTCCCCAGTGTCCTACTCTTCATAATATCAAAATCTAAAGAATATTACAATAAGATGCATAAAAGAGCATGCTGGTAAATGGGACTATAATGTAAGATGTTGGAGCTGCAGACCATATCTAGGTGTTTTGCACACCAATTGCATATCAGTACTTTGCATCTGAAGGGTACCTCTACAAAGAAGTCTATGGCTTTCCATCCCATGGAGAACCCCCTTTGAAGGCTAGTCCTTGCTAATTCAGCAGAGTGAAGAGGAATGGTAGAAGACCACCTTCCTAATGCACTTGCACAAAAGCTAACTCAGCTTCTTCTATTAAGGGATGCAGGGATCTGTGTGATATAGAAGGTCATCTCCTCTTGGACTTTGGAGACATATGGGGTATGGATGTGACTGTGGGTAGAGTAGACACGAACAGTAAGAGAAAGAATGAAGATAATTAGGAATGGCCATATAGTGAGGAGGCTGAAAAACTTACTTAATTCTGTCCTAGTTTATGACACTAGGACAAAAATGTAATTTGGTATTTGAGAAGGCTATGCTTCAATCTTTTGTTTTCAGTATTATTTATGATTCCTGTCTTTAGCCAAAAGAATCTGAATATTACTCAGCCAAAAAACTCCCCAAATTTTAGTACACTTACAAGAAGGCAACTGGACTAATAACAGCTGTGCATGTCTAAAAATCCATAGTTAATAAAATCATAGTATTATATATGTAAAGGGTTTTTAAAAACATTATTCAGGGGCACCTGGGTGGCTCAGTCGTTAAGCGTCTGCCTTCGGCTCGGGTCATGATCCCAGGGTCCTGGGATTGAGCCCCGCATCGGGCTCCCTGCTCACCAGGAAGCCTGCTTCTCCCTCTCCCTCTCCCCCTGCTTGTGTTCCCTCTCTTGCTGTGTCTCTCTCTGTCAAATAAATAAATAAAATCTTTAAAAAAAATTAAAAAAGCATTATTCAGTGTTTAGAATAATTTATATCAAATATATCCATAAAATAGAATATTAAATACTTTTTGTGTTGTGTTACTCTTGAAAGCTAATTAAAATCTTGCTTTTTTTGGCTGTAGGTTAAATCTGGATTTTATCCTCTAGAGTAAAATTGAATTTTTAAAACTGCTTTAATTGCTTCCTTTTTCTTTTATGTAAAATAAGCTATGTTAGTATTGGTATAAAATAGTGTGTATAGTATTTTTTTCTTTTGTTGTAACCCCATTTTAAAAGCTGCTTCATTTAATGCTTCAGGCACTATGAATACTTATGCTGGCCCCTAAAGGTTAGGAGCTCCTCAGGAGAACAAGATTGAACACTTCTTTGTATCTCTAGAGCCTAGCAGTGTCTCTAGTTGGCACAGAACATGTTTATTATTTTTGTTGATGTTGAGAATCATGAAAGAACAGCTGCTTGCACATCTGTCTCACATGGATCATTCAAGGAAGAGTTTAGAGACCTAATGAACTGACAACAACATCACTTATCTTCTTGTTCCAACAAGACATTTCCCTGTGGTACTCCAAAGGACACCAGGATAATCGCGAACAAGCAGAATGGCTACCTGGCTCACTGCTCCCCCTACCCAGAACTGCTGCCTTTTCCTACTCCAATTCAAGTTGGCTCAGAATTCTAGCTTCTAGCTGTGGTTGCATCAATTCAGGGTTTCTTCATAGTCACAGGGGACACAACATGGAAGAAATGATGTTCTAATGGGACACAAGCCTAACAGAGGAACAAATAATCCTGTATCTTAAGATGTAAATTCCACTGCGACCATCACAGCAAGCCTGGTACTCCCATGGAAAGAGACAAAGGAAGGTTGCTGTTGAGAACATCTGTGTTTTGTTTTTTTTTGTTTTTAAAGGCGAAGGCCATTCTTCTTTAATCAAAAACAATAATTTGGTTCAGATTTTCAAAAAGTAACATTTTCTATACAGGATTAATATTTCAAACTAATATACCATTTTGATTTAAAGAAATACCAACTGAAAATTTCCTTTTCTTCTCCCCTTTCAAAAGTTAACTTGCCAGTAATATCTGAAAAAGAGCCTAACCTGTCTATAACTACTTTCTAGGGATCAACTAAACACTTTTCAAATTACTGTACCTTTGAACCAACGACATCTCACCTAAACTATGTTTACATTGTCTTTGCC